GATATCTCACTGAAAACGGTCATGAGTAACTTGTCCTCATAAGAGAACCACTAATTATACAGCATGAGAATTAGATGAACAGTTTTATAAATGACTCTTTCATGTGTGGAGAAGTTCCAATATTAGATTCAAATCATGAAGAATCTAATAGCAGGATTATTCTGCATGTTGCTGTCGCTACCTCATTAGGTGTACAGCAAGCCTGTTGTTTTTAGTCCTTATACATATTTTAATTGTACTTCTTATAAAATCATTTCTCAGAGCTTAATATGGAAAGTATTTCTTAACTGGTAGTAAAGGTATGCTCAGAGACCTGACAAGATATATTCCGGTACATACAGTAAATACATTCAGTGTTCTGCCTCCACAACAAAGAAGTATCATACTTTCTGTGTTTTATCTTTTATCTAAGTTTGTGATGCCTGTCATCATTCCGTAGCATAGGAAAGAGGAAGTCTGTTAATGATCTTAAAAATCTGACCTAGGGAAAGATCTGGTACTTCTAATTCATGCAAACACTGCTGCATTTTAAGTTTGTTGGTCTCTTGTACAGTATATCATCCCGGGTTCGTTGCAAAAAGGGGGTCATATCAAGGAAATGACCTTCAACAAATGATAGCTTTATACTTCATTTACTGCGATGTATACTTCAGTTATTTGTATGGCGTTCATCTTAGAAAACAATAATTCCTCCACTTCATCATCTTCGGATAAAGTTAGGAATGTACAATCCACAGCTTTTGACACAACCTTCAGCCGTACCGGAAATTTTGAGTGACCATGTATATACTTGTTCTAACCTTTGCAGCGATGATCGTGTTTGTTTAGGCAATGCACAGACGTGTACCATAACAGTCTGGTCTTGCAAAGGGGTTCTACAAGGGCAAAACCATTTACCATGTCGGCAAATTTTGAGACAAATGATAATCGTGATGATTGTTGTCCATAGTGAAATTGAAAAAAATACACTAAATGTTACATTGACTGTGGTTTGGCATAAATAACAATATATTTTTTAAATCACTGTGTCATATACGCATGGAAATGTACTGTAAAAAATGACATTGAAAACCCTTTAAATTTTATCAAATTGAACCACTATATTTGTTTTGGTTTTGCTGAATTTTTACATTTATGTAAGCAAATGTATCAATGTTTATGCAAAATAAAAGAAGTTAGTTACCAAATAATGTTACTACTTGTTTCTACACTCTTAAATGCATGTACATGTTTGAACTTATATAATGGTTTTCATAGGTTTTGAAATAAGATAAAGATTTATTTAAAAAATGTAAAAAAAAATCAAGCATCTATCTTAATTAAAAAATAAATAAGATTGGTGCCAATATATACATTTTTTTAACTGTATCTTCTATGATTTTTCACTTTATTCTTAAATTTGACGCTGCGTTGATTCAGAAACTAGCAAAATAAGTTTAAAATTATGGAAGCTCCTTTAATAAAATGCTAAAGGGCTGATACAATTTATTACAATTCAAAATTTGCAATAAAAGTATAGCTTAAAGAATATTTCTTGAAAATTTTTCCATGATGGCGGCCATCTTGGCGGCCATCTTGGATTTCTTTGATCGCCATCATTTTTGCCAATTTATGCCGGTGGTTTCATATAGTACAGACATTAATGGATATTTTGGTATATAACATTAATTGTTGCAATGACTGTCCAGGTTCATCATTTTCTAGGCCCTGATTGTCACCTTACCATAATGTATATTATTTATGTAGTTAGTCTCTGAATTAGCGGTACTTTTTAAACAGTGGGTGGGGTAGGGGTAAGATGGAAAGTAAACAATAGCTTAGAGTTGATGAATTTGTTGTTTACTAAATTAGTAATTATGCTTTAAACATGCTGTTATGTTTAATTTGAATAATGAACTTTATGGAAGCATGGTCAACAAATATTTTTATTTGATCAGCTGATCAATGACATCGAAACTAACTTAAAAAGTGGGTTAAGATTTTTTAACTGAACAGAAGAGTGAACAGGTCTAAGAAAGTCACTCGAAAAAAGTATATAAATACACAATGTCTCATAATTAATAAAAAATAAAATATATTCATTTTCTTTTTTTTCTTATTAAATTGAATGCCTTTTCCTTGAATAGCTCACCTTAAATAAACAGTGTGATAAATAGATACCTTTTCCCAGCCGTTACACCTTCACCATTTACCTGTTTACTTGAAAATGAAAGAGCTGATTTTCTACAGTTTCATATTGAACTAATCAATGTAAACAGTTGATTTGTTTTATATACATCATGTATTTCACTGTTTTCAGATTTGATCAGCCTGGTAGAATAATTATCAACAAGGTGTTACCATATTTCCAAAAATTCTGGTGCCTGATTTAAGTGTAAGCCACAATGAAAAGGGAAACGCCAGAACACAGATTGGTGCCTCTCCAGATAGAATTTTCAGATGTGACTGTCATGGGCAAAGGCTAGTAGAAATTAAAAGTCCCTACAATTGTGTAAGTAAAGGCACTTCCGTTGAAAATCTTGACTTCATCTCTAAGAAAGGAACACAGTTTGACCCTCAAAGAACCCCACGCATATTACAGCCAAATACAAGGTCAGATGGGAGTATCAGGCATACCCATTAAGTGATTTAGTTTATTTTTGATGAAAGGAAAATCCATGTGATAACAATAGAATACAATGAATTGTACTGGAAACAGCTTGAATCCAACTTACAGTATTTTTTTGAACAGTTTGTGCTACCAGTAATGACTGCCAACCAATATGAGTCTGGTAGTGCTCTGTTTGGTCAATATAGTTTAAATCAGAAAAGTGCCAGAAACGAAGTACAGAAAGAAATTAGTAAGCTGAGTGGAAACTACTTCTGTGGCAAATGTAATGACAAAATAATTGAGGAGGTCAATGACGACACTGAAGCAAGTATTTACTGCGAGTGTTTTTGTGGATGTGGAAAATGGTTTCACTGGATTTGTGTCCAATATACACCAGATACAGACAATTTTGATGTTGAACCAGAATGGTTTTGTTCAGATTGTATGAAAAACTGTGAAATAGAATTTTAATATAAATGGCAACGTATGGTTGAAATAGAAGCAAAACTAAATCTTCCATGCTGAGAAATTAGTGAAACTAAAAAAAAGAGATTTTGTTTTGATATATAAGGAGCTGAACAAGTATTTTTGTTATCTCTCAAGAAATTTTTCAAGAGTTTCTGCAATGCTTGTAGTAAGTTGTTCACCCAAAAAAGGGAGATAGCCATAAATGCCTAATTGTACCTTTAATGTGGTTTTTGTAGTTTGGTACATTTTTTTATTATGTCCCTGATCCTTCTTATAAACTTTTGAGATTTCAATAATAAGATAAACTAAGTGTAAAGTGATTTTCAAAAAGTGTAAACTGTGTGGTATTGATCCAGCTTTAACATTTAATTGAAGAAAAACTCAGAGGCATTATCAGAAATTCTGTTAACATGTAGATCAAGTATTGCCTATAAAGTGGGGCAATGTATAAATGATGATAAAGAAATATACTAAATATTTATTTATTAATTCCTTTTGTGTTTTAAAATAAAGTTATTAAACATATTAGTTAAATGAATGTTTTTCTCTTTATTTCTTAAGAACATAAGCACTTGTAGTAATTTTTGTGATTGGTGATGAATAAGTGATGATTGATATTACCAATAATGAGTACAGAAATATGGCTGATTACACGAACTCGATGGAATCGACTCACTGGAATCAAAAACAAATTATATTTCCCAAGAGTTTAATCCTAATGGTTTGCATTACCTTAAGGAACTCCACTGAGGTTCAAAATTATAAAATCATAAAATTTATTTTGTTACACAGATCAGCTGGGGCACGTAATACAGGAAGATATGCAAAAATAATTCAGAAATATACTAAAAATGAACTCAAAAGCGTATTTTTGTGCTATTTATGAAACGATTTTCACTCAAAAGCGTTTCAACGCTTTTCCATTTGGTCATTTTTCACAATTTGAAGTATTATCCTAGATAAACCACAACAGCGAATTGATCTAAAATTGCACACAAGTTACTGATCTAGACCTAACATCAAACTGAGCATTTATATCGAAAAATTATTTCCAGTTTTGTCATGTCAAAAAACCTCAGGGAGTCCCTTTAAGTAGGTCATCCTTTAACAGCTTTGAGATGTATACTAGGTGTTCATTTTAAGTGATAAACCAAAGAGTTCTTAAATGTGGACTGGGTTTAATTATTGAAAAAAACACAGGAAACTGTTGAAAATACTTTTTATTTCATCTCAGTATCACAATAAACAGGATTTAAATCGAGCATTAAGAATATATCACAAAATGAGAATCAATCATCTAACTATGTATGCGAGATTATTTATCATCCTTAAGCAAATTATTTCTGACAGTAATCTTTCAGTTGTATATAAAAAATAATGGTAAATGTCACAACTTGATATGATACTTGAGTGTAAAATATCCAATTAATATAAGTAAAACAAAAGATCAGTAGTATTTTCCTGAGAAAGAAATGCAACAGAACTAGTACAACAGATATAACAAATACAAAAAAAAACTTAAAAAGTACATGTTACTCAAGTGTTCATGTCCTAATAGTTAATTACACACTACAGCAACTAGAAAGCACCTATTGTGAAAGACATGACAAATGGAACAATATTTACAAAAACAACTTGCAGAAAACTTTAATGATATTCAGGTCAGCACATCTTTGTGAAACAACCTCACAAATTGACTTAGTAACTATAAAAATAAATAGCTTGAAGTAGAACTTATGAGCCGCGTCATGACAAAACCCCAACAATGGTTTGCGACCAGCATGGATCCAGACCAGCCTGCGCATCCATGCAGTTGATCAGGATCCATGCTGTTGGCTTACAATCCCTATAGTAAGTAGGGAAAACTGATAGCGAACAGCATGGATTCTGATCAGACTGCGCGATGCGCAGGTTGGTCTGGATCCATGCTGGTCGCAAACGCACTATGTTGGTTTTGTCATGACGCGGCTCATATGATATCACAGCCATGATATCACGTCAGCACTTAGTGTGAACACCATTACAAATAGACTATTATCTTTAAAAAGAAATAACTTTCAGTACAACTTACATATCAGGTCACCACATATTATGAACAAAGTAACCACTTACTATAAAAATAAATAACTTGCAGTTTAACTTATATGATATATACACATAATCATGGCCATGAGGAACCCACATCTCCTGCTCTACGCTTTCTTCCTCTTCGCTTTCTCTTAAATGACTCTGTCAATGAAAAGATATTATTAATATAATGAGTTAAATATTCTATTACAACGTTGTGTAATTTATTTTAGTCTTTGAAAGGTTCATGAAATGGATACTTTTTCATAAACACTTTATATTGACCTTGTTCTTTTAAAGGTACATGAAGGGAAAACTTTATCATAAACAATTTAAAGAATAGAATGTAAATTAAAGGTGTGTACATAATTATCTTACAAAAAAATACTAAAACAATGGCTTGTCCCCAACAGGGTTTGAACCCTTGCGGTTAGCAAGCATTAGATTACTAGTCAGACATGCTAACCACTCAGCCACACTGCCACTTATGTGAGACGTCTTGCTAAAATATATATATTTGTTAATTTTACTATGATAAGTTAATAAGTGAAATTGCCCAACCGGTCAACTTACTAGTATCTCGAAGTCTTCATTTTCAACCTCATCAACTCTTAATTGTTCATCTGTTGGAATGTCGCTCAAGTCATTATTTTCGCACCGTAATGGAGTTGCCTGAAAAAAATTAGATCTAACATTTAAATATGATCTGAGTTGCCTGGAAAAATTAAAGCTAACATTTTGAATATGTTCCATCATTTAAAAAGCAAAAGTTAAAATTAAAAAAATTGAGTCATATGATTATGTATGAATGTGATGTGAACTGTGACCTTATGTAGCAATTACTTGTGTGTCGGGTTATATTTTGCATAATTTTGTCTTATATTTATTTCAGATTTCTTAAACTAAAAGTTATACAAAGTTTAGAGTGTATTTAAAAAAACAAAAATTAAAATGAAGAAGATGAACTACTTACAAAATACAGTTTTCTTGGTTTACTTTTTGACATGGGAGGAGTATATTCTCTGTTGGTCGCCTTTGAGGTGGTTCTCTGCTTTTTTGTGCTTGTCAATCTGTTAGGAAATATTGATGGCAAAACAAGTTTTCTTCCAGGCTTACGACATTTAGGATGTAAAATTGTAGATTTTTCCTCCTCCGTAAAATGGCAGTCACAAATACGATGGTTATCTGTTGCTTCCCACTTTCTGAGTTTGCCCGTTTCATCTTTGTAATACCTTTTAATGCGTGCTTGCCACTGTTCATATAGCCACTTAGGTTCTGTGGGTATTGTGTAGAAAGTTTGACATGGACTATCACGGCTTCTCTTATGGTTGCACAAAGGCACACAGCAATAATCATCACAACCCATAGTACCTGCAAATTAAGTTAAATAAATTAGTTAGTTAGTATAATTTGAGTGACAAATGTATTATTAACAGTTACAAATAACACCCACGGTAGGCCTATTGTTTACCATATTTATCACACTTTTTTGAATTTAATAAACCTAATTAATGAACAATGCAGTAAGATAAATATTAACCAAAAATTAAGTCAGTTATTATACATTGTTTCCTACCTTTAAAATAAAATCGGTGATAATTTATGGTAAGTCAACTGATTTTTGTTTACATTACCCCACCCACTTTTTACGTGAAATTGGAGACAGTTTTACCTCTAATTTACGAATGCATTCTCATACTGTTCCAAAATTCTTAGCAATTATGATAAAATATAAGTCCAATTAACTTACAACTTAATGAAATGCCTTAAATCAGCGTTTTGGTGGTAAACTTTATTTGTTTACATGGTTTTCCATCTCAGTGCACCGATTCCCCAGAGCTCGTCATCTCGCGTTATACGGCGGTCTCGCGAGACCCGAGATTTCACCTTTTCGAAAAGGTCAATCAGAGGATTTGGCATGCAATGTTAAACATTAAGTGTCTTCAGCAGATAACTAATAAAATTAGTCTCGATGCCAAAGAGTTGTTTTACATATTAATTAAGAGACACAATTATCATATAATGACAAACAACATACACAAATTTGAATGAATCGTAAGCTATAATTATTTTGTGGAGAGTTCATACGATGACAATGTCAGCATAGTATTTGCATAATCTGCATAGTATTTACAGACCAACCCGGTGATGATCTAAAAAGGAAATCTGTTTCTTTTGTTTATTTGACGCACTGTATATCTTCACATTTTGAAATACATTTTGTTCTGTTTTGGCATGTAATTCAAAGTTAAACCAGATTTTTTTAATGATTTTTTTTTTCCATTAGAAGAACACATCTCCAGCTCAAATTGTATAACGACGTGTGTGTGTGTTAAAGTACACTAATGATTAAAGTACATCCGTCATTAAACAAGGTCATCTAATTATATATACCCAGACGGTAATTTGTTCTATACATAAATTATACCAACAATTTATTTTAGGTGAATTCGTCTCATATAAGGTTCAGCAATAAGCTGGTGTGAAAAAAGGCTTATTCTGCTTCATTTGTTTCCTGTTTAGGTCAATAAGCAATATTGCTCTGTTTACCAAACACTTCAATGTATGTGAGATATTGCTTCTACTAAATGATTAACAGTTTACCCAGATAACTTAGATTGATAGCTTAAATGACTTTTACATCGAAATATTAACAAGTTTTATTTGTTTGCACTTTAAGTCAATGGTGCTTTCCCAGTACACTTCTTATACACTTGCTCATCCACTTCCTGTTTACCGACTGAGTTTAATTTCAACATTAATGCTCAGTGGTAAATTTTTATCTTAACATTACAGCCTCAAGATATTTTTATACAAATGAAACCCGGCCTTTTCTGTCTTTGACCCACTTTTTTAAAATCTTATTCAGCGTCAACATGACGGACGCAAACGATGATTACATTTGTCGACACGAATTCCTTTGATATGTGTGACCATTGTCTTTAACTCGAACATGTCCTTGTAGTAAATGACTGAACAAAATCCTATTGTGTTATCGAGAATGGTATCACTAACAAATACCTGTCTACAATTTCAATGATGATTTAGTCTGTTTCAAATGATATATTATTATGTAGTGTAACATTCTTTATGTATTCTTTTTTCTATCTATTCATATGATGACTGTGACACACTTCGATTATTTGTGATTTTTTTACGTAAAACTTTACGTAAAAAATGCAAACATGCCATTACACTTAACGGCAAATTAATAAAATCTCTCATGGATAAAAATACTTGTGAAAATTAATTATTTGTTTGCCGGTTTGTTTGTGTAAATGTGTAATATATATAGTAAGCGATACATGTATGAATAAAACATGTTCCGCTCCATACAAATTGCTACTAATTATCTAATAATACCCAAATCACATTTTTGAAGTTTCTGCTGCGTTTTTTTAAATGTGCTTAACTTCCCTGGGTTTTGGCGGTATTTAGTTCTGATATTGAACAGGTGCAATAGGATGAGTAAGAATGAAAAATGTTGTTTCTATCTTAATTCGCTCCCTGTGTTTGAAAACGTTTGTTTACGAAACATCACTATATGCAATAAAATTATGTCTATTAGAAATAGAAAACAGTCGATCATGTAGAAAAGAACACTAAGGAAACACAAGTTTACCTTATATCGGCACTGTAATTGTTACTTAAATATTAGAAACATCACCATATGCAATAAAATTATATATATATATTAGAAATAAAATACATATAGATAAAAACACTAAGGAAAAACAAGTTTACCTAATATCGGCACTGTATTTGTTACTAAAATATTAATCATGTCTACACAGTTTGGCCTGACATACCTTATTTAAAATAATTAGTATATAGGAATATAGGATTGGTCTGGCTGTGATGAAATATAAATCAATCGTCCTGTATATGGTTGGGATACAATATAAAACAATGGTCATGTCCCTGGCTGCGATAAAATACAAAACAATCGTCCTATCTATTTGCAGTATATAAGAAGATCAGTCACAGCCTACAAAATATGATAAACATGTTTAAAGGCACATAATGCCCCATAATCGAATATCTTTTCATCGTAAAAAAAGGAAAACATATTTTTATAGTTTTAAAACATATCATATAAACTACACAGCACGCTTAGTTTAGTTTTATCATATTTACTGTACTTAAAGCTCGAAATAAGTTCTTGCAACTTAAATTAATCATTTTTGAACCCGCTTCCTGAAACCGACAAGTACTTGTTTCATATGAGGAATCATGATCGTGATCCGAGTAGAGCTCCAACCCACGATACCTAAGTGTGGAGGTAGAGAACGTTACCATAAGGCCACCTCTCCCTTTCTGAATGATGTATAAATTACTTTTTGCAAACTACCATTATGCAAAACGGAAATAAACATGTAAATACTTTAAGACATTGAAATCGATGAAACTTATTCATACCCTGGAGAAAAGTATTGCCTTAAAGTGTAGTAATTAGTAAACAATATGATTTAATGATATCCGTATACAAGGGTAATTGATTTATACATTTGTCCTTAACACAAAAATTACAGCTGCACAGTTACTTGTCCAAGAACATGTCTAATTCAATTCCAGTAACATTTCAGGAGAAAACACGATATCATGCTGTACTTGCTTCCGGTCAATAAACAATTGCGTTTTGTCGAACAAACAGGATATTGCTTCACAGAAAATTGCAGAATATCGCACTAAAAATGAATGATGCCTAAATGACCTTGCTTCCATCGACATAAACAAGTTGTTAGACAAGATTGCACATACAGACATGGTCAATGATGCTTATAGAAAAAATAACTTTCTTCATTATTTTAGATTGTTTATCGTATCGTTTAATGACTCTATATTTTAGGCCAGTACGGAATCAGATAATCATATTTCCTAAACTAAGATGAAAAGCATGTATTCTTTGAATTCAGTAATAAAAATGAATTAGCATCATGTGATATATTACCTACATACCGAGGTAATCAGTTTTGTCAATATTCATTAATTAATTAAACTATTTGCTCTTATCGTTTTGTATTCTTTTTTAATTTCCGATGGCATAACCTGTTCTTCCTTCAAAAACTGAAAGAAAATAGATAAACATATTCAATTTTACTTAAACCATGCATAACTTAATTACTTACATATATTTGAATGACCAAAACAATGGTTATGGCTATTCATTATGTTAATTTGTCTGAAGAAACGTTACAGGTTGCATAGCCAAGTAAAATTATTAATTGCAGGACTAGACACAACAATAAGAGGAAACGCCAGACAGTCTTTATTTGATCTGAGATCATGCCTTGTAAAATAAGGAAAATGAACACTCAAGGTACACATTAATGTCAATGTAGCAGCAGTTAGTAAAGAATCATGTTTTGCAGGGCATTATAGAATGTTGTTTTTGTTAAATGAATAATTGTTTGCACTTTTAAATTAGATCTTACCATTCAAAGTGTAAAAGATGTACAATTGTCATTTATTTCAAAAACAGATTATTAGAGTGTTATACATTCCAAATGATGGAATGTTAGAAGTGTAATATTTTTTTTATTTAACCTGTCGAAAAAAGATATAATTGTCTAAATAAAAGTATTTAAATGTCTACGTTTAAAAGATCGAATTCAAATCAAATTGGAACTTATTTTTTAAGAGTTAGTGCTTAATAATATTAAGTCATATTAAGTAAAATGTCTTCTTTTCTTTTCTTGCTTAAAATAGTCATTTATTGAATTATGCTGCTTATATTTTATTATGCAAAATACAGTTATATTAAAATAAAAATGTTTTACATATATTCGTGTTTAGTCTTAATGAATGCAATTGGGACACTTTGCACATGTCACAACCGTCTTCCATTTGTTAACAAATGTAAGTATTTACCTGAATAAATTGTCTACAATACATGCTGACATACCTTTTCAAGGAAAGGATAATGAGTAAAAAAAATGACACATTTTTATATAGTGCGTTATATATAATGGATCAAAAACACTCAATATTAAAAATCACATACAAACAAACAAATCAGCATCACGTCTCAAATATTCTAGGCTAATGTACATTTATTGCACGGCTTATTGACCTTCCTTACAAAGCATTTTTAGCTTTTTGCTTTTTATGCTCAAAATTCAGAAGTTTGGAACAGAATAATCTGTCCTTTTATCTTTGCCCAACCAGTGATTTAAGATGAAAGGAGCCGTTTTTGGTTAGTACATAGCACATGGTTAAAAATGAATCCAATTTATTTTGAGGTCATTAAGTCAAGATCAACGTGACGCATTGTGAAAATACTTGTCCGATCAATGACTTTACATTGAATGAGCTACAGTTTAGTTAAATTGGAAGGGATATTGCCCTTGGTCAGTATGTGCTCCGTATTAATTTTAATGGCATTGGCTTATGGGCACAGTTACAGGTAAAGTAACACCCTTGTCTAATCAATGGCATACACTTGTGTTCTCAGATTTAGAGTGCAATTTTATTCCTGTGTCCCTATACTAGGTAAAGGATTTGTACAACTGACAGTATATTGACACAAACGATTTTTGAACATTACCATAGTTCATTCAACAAATATTAATGAACACAGACTACAAACATTTAATGACTATCTATGCTGTATGTTAATCATGTCTGTAAAAGTACAATAAAAGTGACTGAATCTTGCCGGTCTTGCAAGTATATACTTGTTCATAATTAAATAAAAAGACGTGCCACTAATCGTTAGCTTTTTAACTTAAAACCTGAAATAA